GAAGTCAAAACAGGGTAGCCTACATCAAGTTTTTGTTGGTGTGTTGGAATTCTGAGGCCAGTATTACATTTTTGTGTTTTTTAAATGTAAACAAAGCAAATTTAGGAGATTTCATTGTTTTGCAAACTGCTCACCGATTGGCGTTGATCAAGAAAAAAAAGTGCAGTTTGTAGAACAAGGCCGATTGATTGGTGCGTCGCGACATTACATAAAGTGTAATGAAAACTTATTGAGAACTCATTTCATAGTTACCTTGAAACATGAAGTTCTTGAACTGTAAATTTTTCTTATGTTGCTAATTTTTTACCTCCAATTCAGTCTGCAAGTTTGACTCCTGAAGGATATTTTCAGCAAAAACAGTCAAAATGTTCTCAGAGTTGGATAAATGCATTCATAAGATGAAGTGGGGCTACCTTTTTTTCATCCAGTGCTGCGCCATCCATATCTGTGGCTTCTTACTCTTTCAGCTTCATGAACATCAGCTTTGTTGATGTTATTGAGGTCACTCTTCCTGACCTCAATAACATGAGGTCACGTCTGGACTTTAACTTTTCTGCCAGTCAGCTCAGCTGTCCGGCATTGCTTTATTAGATTTATGCAGGAAGTGAAAAACTTTAAGAAACCTGTCTTTGAAACAAACGCGATATTTAATGTAGGCGTTTCAAAAAGCTCTCATGGTTATAACCTTGAGTAAAAAAGACACTGCATTTTAAAATGGCAGCAGTTACAGTAGACCCCCAATATTGGAAAGAGTTGGGGACCACTGCCGTTTTCATAGTTCAAACACTAAATACACCTTATTATGCATTAAAACACACATCTTAGCATTACCACAAAAGCTAACATCTGAAGTCTTCCTTATTTCCACTCTTGGGGCTACAACCAATCGGCGCCAAGGAAAATAATTGACACTTCTGGATTGGGTGCTTTGTAAATGACTATCAATTGAATGTCAAGTAGTTTTTCAGATTTCCAAGCTGCTTTTTATAGATTGTAGTTATACTCTAAAAATAGATTTGCAAATTTTAAATCCCACAGAAAATTGTCCAAAATATTAAATCTGCAAATCCTGAACCGTGTAAAAGCTTTTGGTTACTATCTTTATATGGCTTCTAAAATAACAGGCTAGTTATTAGTTTTAATTTGAAACATATATACATTATTGTGTTTTGATTCTGATACATGGAACAAAGCAAAAATACTGAACTACTACTACACTGGAACATGACATTTCGTCCTTTTGTTCTTGGCTGCTCAAAAGCCAACAGCTGTTGGCGGCACAAGACGTCCAACAACACAATTCTATTCGTTAAGCGTTCCTGACCAGCATCATCTGGTTGGCGGTCAACACTGCAGAGTACTGACTCAGCAATCCCTTTTGATCCTTTTATGTTCAGAAGATTAATGTCTCTTCAGTCAACTGCAGTTGTGGCTTCTTTTGAATTGTCCTTGCTTGGCACAACCAAACAAGACGTCTCCAACAGGGTGAGCCGTGTTACGGCGCTCTGTGCGCAGGCCCCTCAACACACACTTGAAGGCGGAGCCAGGTCCGACCAGGCGTTTTGCCAAAGGATTTATTAAACATGAATGGAAGAATCAAGACAACACTTCAGGTATCTCTTTGATGAGGGAATGACATAACGTGTAAAGTTGGAAAAGAATTTGGCCAAATTGGGTATTTTGCGGCAAGTTTGAAATTTGGTTAGTCTTCTGTAATCATTTTAAAATAAACGGAGCAATCTTTGGCCCTTCAGACTTCCTAGTTATGCTCTCTCAAAATATGTTTCGTCAATACAAACACCCTCACTTTGTACTGACGAAACACAAAAGAACAGCTTTACAATGTTCTTTCTGCGAGGTAGAAATCCTATTAATGCTGGAAGTTTGGCATTATAAAAAAGCAACAACAAAAGAAAAAAATCATTTTTTATAGCTTTTTACTGATTTTGCACAAAAATACATGAGGTGACACATTGCTGGAGAGTTTTTGGAGGTCCAACCCAAGCCAAAAGGTGGAAAAGTTTGATATTAAGACTTCTAGGTTATTCTGTCTTTGTGTCTGCTCTGCCGCCAGTTTCCTGATGAGATTTGGCTCTGAATACAGAACGAGCCAGTGACTTGGGCCTCCTCAAACCAATCCCCCACCCTCAGCTGTTCCATGTGGCTCCCAAGATGAAGCTACGGCAAGTGGGTGGGCTGTCAGAATCAATCTTAGAATATGGTATCTTAATGTCCAATTAGTATGCTGGAGTCCCCTTGCTGTATATAAGCAGTTTGTCAACAGTGCCAAATGCTCAGCTCTGTACCGCTTGTCCTTGGCATATGGGCCAATCAAAATCCGATGACACAGCCAATCAAGCCGCATCAGAGTGAGCCAGTCGGCGTTTTTAAAGTGTCTGCGTCACGCCGTGTGTTGTTTTGGATTTATAATCACAGAAAAGCCTAGAGTCTCAGAACAAAGTGGTGCTCCTCCTGGGCCTCGTCTGGTAGCAGCTTGGCTTCAAACCTGTCCCAAGGAGACTGGGGATACGCCATCTTCCCTTCCAGGCTGCAGAAGCAGCCTGGAAGGGAAGATGGCTTCGCTAAAAGCAAGAACAGGGGGGAAGCGGAGGGTCTGCTCGGCGTAGGCTTGCCGTGTCAGACTCTTCACAGCTCCTGCTATCGCTGGAGGCTGGTTCAGATTCTACTGGCCTAGTTATGGCTGCCAGCTCAGAATGACTCTAACTGCAAGAGTTTCTCTGTGTTTATATAGTCACTGAATGAGCTGAGAAAGGCAGGTCGTTATTCTTCTTCACAAATTTTGTTATTTCTTTTGCTTCTTTGCTTATTTCAGCACAATAATGTTCAGTACTATATTGATAACAATAACAGTGACGATAGGAAGCCGTGTCACAAAAGGCAACAAGTCAATTAATCACATCATAAATTAAAACAAGTTGAATAATTTCCATTTGCATGATTTGTTTCTCTCTTTTCTGTGTGTTACTTGATGTTTCTGCCTTGCTTATTTGTTTTGGATATTTAAATGTCTTCCAGTTCCAGGGTTGAATGTTCATTAAAAGTGTATTGCTCCATGAGAATGCGTTCTTGCATTATGTCGTTACCATTTCACTACTTCAAAATATTCTCAAAACATTACTGTTAACCCAAAACATTACTGGATGATCAATTTGGGACAATTGATCATCCAGCAAACTTTTTTTTATTGTTTCAAGCCTAATGTTAGGAACTATTTATTACATCTTTTATTGGGTAACTATGGCTATGACTGTCATGGCATTTATAGCTCTACAAATACAAAAACGATTGAAACATTTTTCAATTTGCAATACGCTTCTGTAGGACACAGCAGACATATTTTAAAATACAGCTACTATACAGAGAAAGTAATCAATCCCAACAACAAGGTGAGATCTTAAACATAATTATTTTAAATTCATTATGATGACGATAAATCAAAAATTCTTATCCTAAGAAATTTATCACAATAAATGATGAGTGATGAGATAAATGGCCACCTGTGTTGTTCATGACGTTTTTAAAATCTCAAATTTCTTCTAAATGTGGACATCGGTATCAGCTAATGTTAGTAATTTTTTACTTTTTTTCATGACATTTTCACCGGTCCCATAAAAGACAGCTATTATTAACCACTAAGCCTGTTAGTAATTAATCTCATGTTGAATTAAAATGAGCTCAAAAATGTCCATTTTGATGACTGTTTTTTGCGGGGCATTTTTGTGTAGAGATATCATAGCTTATTTTATTAATGTTTTTGGTTGTGTGTAATTTTTTTTAATTGTATTTATTGTTTTTGGTTATTGACTTTTCTTTTGGATATTTCTAATATTGTCCACTTCTGCTGTATTTGTTTACTGGTCTTCGAGAGGGAAAATCTTCCATTATTATTCAACTGTCAAAACATTACTTGAACTTGATCTCAAAACAACTATAACATCATTTATCGCAATAGTTCCTGGGACAATTTATCTCATCGTAACAGGCTAACCGCTAACGTTTGTCTCCCATTCTTTTGCCGCTTCTGTTCACTATTTTGATTTGACTTGAAAGCTCATAAAGAATCAGCAGTATTATTACGATGTGATGCTGTTCTGAACTTAACTGTGACCGACTCATAGGCGTGTCCAGCTTCAGCAGACCCTGCCACCCCTTCTCTCCTCGGCGTTGTCCACTTCCTGTTTCCCCTGGAGCGTCTCTTCTCATCGGCAGCTCACCTCATAAGGCCTTGCTCTTTTTATCCTCTTCTCCTTCACATTTCTATTATTTGCAGCCTCTCCAGAGAGGTTGTGGAGGATGAAGTGTTGATTGTTCTGTAAGGGTCACCTGATGGCAGAAGATGCATTGAGGGAGCAGAGGAATGTGCTGAAAAATCAGCATGAACTCGTCTTAACGTCACTCATTTTATATAAATCAACTTCTTGCCTCATTATGGATTTTACAATTTAGACTTTCTACTATTTCCTGTAAGATTAAACATTTTCCACGTTTATTAAGAATTTGTAATGTGCATTAGTGAGCACTTTTTCATTTTAATGACTTACAAACAACTGTGTTGTTCTGAATGGACCTAGTTTGTAGTTTTGGCTTATTTTTGCCACAACAGTGAAAATAACCTGGTTATAAAATGCAAATCATGCGAGTGTAAAATTTCCTAGAAAATGCATTCTACTACTTTATGGGTGTTTCCATGGCTCTTAGACGGGTAGAACAGGCAGGTAGTGCAAACTGACAACTTTGTACTGGGCGTTTCTCAAAAAGTTTGCTTTTCAACAATACTAAAGAGCAGCATCTCTTTGACGACTGTTCGAATGGAAATGATCACACTCTTTTTAATTTATGATGCATTTAATTGATTACTATGACAGGCCTGGAATAGAATAAATCTGTAACCAACACCCAGTCAAGTTGCTGGATTGAAGAGCTGTGATTCCTGACCTTCTGTAATGTACCCGTTTCCTTGTGCTTGTTGTTTCTGTCAGATGACGAAGCACGCTTGGGACAGCTACAGACAATACGGGTGGGGTCACAACGAGCTGAAGCCCCTCGCTAAGAAAGGACATTCCACGAATATCTTCGGTAAGTCAAACACAAACCCCTCTCTCTTCCTCTGCCGTCCGTAACCGTTGGCACGTTGTTGTACGTCACAATCCGATGCACTCATGACTGCACACACAGAATTTTTTATTTTTTTTATGTACAAGTTCACGTGAAACGCCTGCAGCAGGATTTCCATCACTTTAGTTGTTACTTACCATTTTAAATATTGTCCAACGGTGCATATCAAATTACGTCATTTCAAATATTCACAACTGGAATGGACAATCAGTGATTATTATGAGCAGTTGTTGTCTTAAACAGTGACTATGTTACACAGGACTAATATTTTTATCTGGAGACCCACTGTGTTTCCAGTGACCTGGCGAGGTCTTTGTCACCAGAGGTTTCCTGTTTGATGAGAAATTGCTGCTGGCGAAGCTCCTTTTCCCACTGAGGGGTCAATCCAATACAGCCTCTCATGTCTGAGGTTTGAAGTTCAGATGCTGTTTTCTGTTATCCTCCCCTGCAGCTGTGCTCTTGTGACGATACAAATCACAAAACCTGAAGTGGAAAGAAGAGCTTTGTTTTCTACTTTTTGAAAAAGAACGAAAAAAAAAGGATGAAACGATGACAAGAACTGTGGCTTCTACGGGACTCTTTTATCTAAAGGCACTTCAAACTGAAAAATAAAGCTTATTTACAAGCTTGGCTGAAGCAAAAGAAGGACCTTGAATTTCAAGTGAGACTCTTAAAAGTGTGTGCACTGTTTCATGTTTCTAATTGCAGTCAGATAACTCCAGTTGGGTCACACCAGGTAATAGTTGGCTGGTAACGCCATTAGGGTTGTAAGAGTAATCAATGTATATATATAAATGATATTCAAAAACATTTGTGTTAAAATCCACACAAACTAACCCATTTACATTTGCTAACATGACGAGTACTACGAGAAAACGTGACCCTCGTTAGCCGATAAAGCTAACGTGTGGTTCGGGCGTATTTTCTCTCCGAACAAGGATGACACATGCTAGCTGTGCTAATGCTAACGCTACATGACTGATGTTTGAGATCAACTTAAAGCTCAGTAAAGCCCCTGTGTTTGCATCAGTGAGGCAGGAAACCTCCTGGTTGACATAAGCTAATGCTATCAGTTCAAATATTAGCTTCGTGGACAGCGCAGATGATGTTCTGCTGGTCCAATCCAGGCTGTGAAGTTCAGAACCATGCAACGCTCTGTTCTTCTGTGGGACAAATTAACGCAGGAAAATGTTAACCAATCGAGAAAACATTCAGCAAAACTTTCAGAAAGACAGAAATTGTACAAGGCTGCTGCTGTATACACTGCAAGGACCAAATCCTTGCTTACAGTGTAAAAAAACTAATGTTTTGTATCTTCTCTATATTTGTTTTTGAAATGCAAGTTATTTCAACCTACAATGATCCTTTCTGTCAGGTACGACAAAACAAAATGACTGCACAAGTGAGTCACACGTCCATAAAGGATGAAATAATGGAAATGTGCTGTAATGACCCACATTGAGGAAATTCAAGTGTAAGAGCAAGCGAGATTAACTTAAATGGAAGCATACAAACACTAAGCTAAAAAAAATTAATAACAAAGACGTTAAAATTATTTTTTTTCTTGTATCTCTATTTCTTTCTCTAATTGTAAGACAATTTTGATGACTTGCTCCATCTGAAAAGTGTTGCCCACAATTTTAGTTCATTACGGTTTTCAGTGTAATCGTTTTTTCTAGCTTTCTTTCAATGAGCGCCCAGTAATTATTCATATATTATATTTATAGCAGAGGTGACATCACACTGTGTGACAAAGCAGCCCCTGTGAACTGTGGAAGTGGGTTTTGGGTAAATCACAAAGTTCATTTTGCTGTTTTGCACTTGGCCTTCCTGTTGTTTTCATAAAACTCTTGCTCTCTTTCTTATCCTGTCTGAACAGTTAGCTCCTTACATCTCCGTGATGTTGCAGATTTCATAGCTAAACGCTTTAGTGACGCTGAAAATGAGTTGGAGTCATCTTTCTGTAAATGAATCCTCACCGAAGGGTGTTGTCAGTTCGAGGAGTTAGTACTTGTATAAGCTGCACTCAATGTTTTTGAGTTTCTGAACAGATGGTCATGAGTCAGGGTGGTCCCACTAATCCTGGTCATTAGTCAATTTCTTGGTGCAAAACTCGTCTTTGTCAGAGCTTTTAATAAGATGTCAGAGTTCTATGTGGTGAATAAATGTGTTTTCTGGTACTTGATATTTGTCTAAATGAGCACCAGATGAGCTGAAGTTAAATTGGAATTCAAACACTTTTGTTAGATCTGTGGCATTTAGAGCCACAGATCTAACAAAAGTGTGGATTGATCAGTGCATCTAGAAAGTATTTAAATCCAAGTTCCAAATTGTCTTAAATTCATCTTTCTCCTCAAAATTTCTTACTAATTACCCCAGGATTACCACAAAAGGGGGGGGGGAGTAACGAAATACGGTAAAAATTAAGTACTGAGAATACATTGTATTACTCCTAGGACATTACTCACTGCTTATTACTCTTTGTTTTTGCACATTATTTCTAGACCTTCCAGATTTTGCGTGTATATTTGGATCTAATTTAACAGACTGTTTATAGCCGCGTGTGAATGCAGCGCCATGATGCCTTTGTGTCAAATTGGAATGTTTCAGCCGCCAATTGGCTGCAGGCGCCTGTGTTGCTTTTATGAGCTGCTGCTAAATGCTAGATGGATGGGTTCTTTTGTGTGTCTCTGCATTTATTCGTTTTCCTGTCCGTTTCGCTGCACGTCTAGAACGTGTCCTGTTTTCTTTCCGAATGTGTCTATAAGAGTTTTGCTTTGTTTTGGTTTTTTTCCCCCTACTTGTTGCTTATGGGGAGATTTGCTGGTAATTACTCACAGGTTGGGTTGCGAAGGCAGAGGGCAATGAGTAAAGCGTTACACTTGTTGCAGAACACACTTCCAATACTGATGAGCAATGACCTGTCTGCTGTCGGATAGTGGCCATATTGATTGGGTGTGTGGGGTTGGGCTTGAAACGGTAGAACGACGAGACGGAGGGATACATTTTTGATCCAACGGCAACAATGACTAATTCTGACAGAGCTGCAGTTATCCCCACTATTTGTAAAACACATTTCAATATGTGTTGCAACGTAGAATTCGATTGAATATCCAAACTCGTTGCAAGGCTTTTTCCAATGTAATGTTACAATTTTCTATATAGAAACTTTAAGCCTAAGAAAAATAACAGGATAAATATTTTTTAAACCCTATTTTTATCCGTTTGTGCATTTTTAGTGCAATATGTGTTTCAACATAGAATTGGTTTAAATATCAAAGTTTTTTCAAGTTAATTTTGCAGTTTCTTTATATAAAAACAAGCCCTAAGAATAAAAATAACAGGTCAAAGATTGTTTTGAAACCTAACAGAAAACAAACCCTAAGAAGAAAATATATATATATATGTAAATACGGACATAAATACACTGAATTATAAATGTATGTGAGAACTCTGCACCAGTACAACACATCTAAATACACCAATAGCTTCACAAGTTTGGTCAAACATGTAAAAACAAACTTAAATTATTCAGCCAGTCCAATTAGGAGAATAATGTAAAGTAAATAATGAAACTGAAACTGATAAAAGAAGTTTTGTCACAGTGTGTTTTTTAAATAGCTTAGAAAGTGGAATTAGGAATTCCAGCTATAATGTAAAATAAACTATACAGCATAACATTAGACTTAATAAATCTGTCCTGATGTATCGGGCACATTGTCACCGATACCCAATCTAGAATTTCTGTTGATATCAGAACCAATACAGATATCGACATTGGATCAATAAAATTTTGGTTTTGTCATTTATTTAAATTGGATTAAGGAGTACTTTCTCTATCAACAATATAATGGATTGAGATTTTCTCATTCATTATAGTTTTGTAAATGAAAGAAATTTAAAATGACGTGTCAGAGTTAAGAAAATTAAGGGAAAACCTTAATCAGTGTCTTGAAATGGTAAACAAACTCAACTCGTATTGCTCTGGAATGAAACTCGGTTTACCAAGAGAGCTTCTCTGTCCTTTAAGATCTGGTCATACACAGTTATTCATTTATATTATCATTATTATTATTTATTTTTACAGAAAAGCATTTCCTGCCGACGGGCAACCAGCCTTCCTCCTTGACTCAAGCTTTACAAGCCGCCTCGATGCCGATATTATGAAGAAAAATGTGCAGCGGGTTCACCGCTGGCCTGGCTGTTTAGCCTTTATCTGTCCAGAGAGAAAAGGACAGGCCAGGATGGTAACAAGAGGGCTTTAGGTCTCATTGCAACCCTGGGCTCAGATAACCTTGAGTTCACTGCCTGGTCCTGATTTGTTTTCTCTTTCCTCCGCTACTCTGCAGAGAATACAGAGTGCAGATATTGAGTGGAGATACTAACGGTGGCTTTATCTTGGGGCTACATGGTTCAAGCAAAAATGACTCATGCTCTTGTAGAGGAAGTATAGTATAAAATTGGTCAAGACGGTCGCAATAACCCTCAAAAGGCACATGAGTAGGGACGGACGGACGGCTTGTACAGTCGGAGATGAGCAAACAAAAATACTCTTCTAACAAAAAATGGTGCAACTATTCATACTCAATATTCACATTGAATTTTACCTTCAAATATCTTGATTTAATCGATATAAAATTAACATTTGTTTCACCTGTAAGATTAAAGATTAAATAGACAATCCGGTCTGGGCTGTCACAATTTAAATTTTGCTGGACGATAAATTGCCCCAGGTAATTATTACGATAATGTTGTTTTGAGACCATCTTGGAGTAACATAATGAAGATGGCATAATAGTTCAAATACACCTTGGCCTGCCACATTAACACATTTTACTGAATGATGTACATGGAAACGATTTATGTTTATGTTCAGATGTTTATTGGAACATAAATGTTATGATTTATTGTTCCGATAAACCATAACGTTGTTGTCTTGATACCATCTCAAAGACTAATGA